ATTCTTCATCGAAAAATATGTTAACATTGAAATTTTTCAGAACTTTAAAAAAACAAGATGGCCAATGTGTTATTCCGAAGAAATGTTCACTTGTTTTTTGATGAAAAATAGCTGAAATTCACTAAAATGGGAGAAAACAAGAAAGCGCGCGGCGAAGTTGCATAAATTCATGCGGCGGTTGCAAGGGGCGTGGCCTTTTTTCTGCACACACGCCAGCTGACAGGTTTTTAATTTTGACAATATGTGCTTAATAGTTTTAGATTTTTAAATTAAAACACTTACAAAATTGTTCAATTAAAAAAAAATTGAAACATAAATTTTTATCAAAAAAATTGTCATATTAAAAAAAACTGACACCTTAGAAGTTGAAAACCTTTTTTTAATCCGAAAAGCCTTTTTTCAGACTTTCGCCTCTTTCGAGCTATTTTTGCAAATAAGTTTGGTTTTTCGATGAAAACCAGATTCTAGAGATGCTATCAGTTTGATACAAAGAAATTTTAATTTTGTCCAGAAGATCCCACTAAATTCACAGAAATAAGCTTCCTTTGCTACTGTAGTGATTTTTGGGCGAGGCCCCGTAAATGGACACGGAAGCCGCCCGCGAAATTTACCAGGTCCCAGTTTTTTTTTAATTCGACAATATAGTAGGTAAGACCCGCAACGGCCGGTCGTGGTCAAGCTACATTTTATGATCTTCTCACTGTTTCTCTCCCCACGTGCGCTGTTGTTTCGTTGATCGCTGACCTCCTTATCAATATCTCTTCATCACCCACCCTCGGATTTTTCATTTCGTTGAATTTTTCTTTTTCTTCCTCATTCTCTGTCTGCGCATCTAGAAAAGAAAAAAAACAGACACACAAACAAAGGTTTTGCTGATATTTCTATTGAAGAAACGTGACAATTGTTATATGGTTTTTGAGAAGCAAACAGGTCAAAGAACTTTTTTTTTGCTCGAGAAACGTTGAAAATTGGGTCTATGATAAGGTGGGGTGATAAGAATGAGCTGGGTTTGCCAGAAATAGAGAATTTAAAGAAAATACTGTTTCCGAAAATATGGAAATCGGAAGAGATCGTTGGGTAATAATTTTATGGATATACATAGCGACCACAGAAAAAGGGGCGGAGCCTAACTATTTTTCCCCCAGGGTCGTTTCGGCTGTTTGATTGGCTGTAACTATGGCTAGAAGAGATATTTCAATATGAAAATTTGTCTCCTCACGTAATCGAATACGTAGATTTCGAAAATGTAATTTTTTACTGAAAAATCTACAAGAGAAAAGAAAAAAGCGAAAAACCGAAGTGGGCGGCAGAAAAATGAATGGTAAAAGAAATCGGAGTTTGTATCACTTTCCGTTTCTGCTGTTTCGAGTAACTGAAGACATTCTCTAATGGAAAGTTAAAATGAAATCTTGTGAGGAGTTAGCTCAGAATTGCACATTTCAACCGAACTGGCTGTAAATATTGTGAAAAATTTTCTGCGGCAACACATAAAAATTATGTTTTTTCCAGCCCTCTGAAACCTAAATTTGAGCAGAAAATCTCTTGAGAAAACCGTTCATTTCTTCCGCGCGGTAGCCTTGCGCTGTCGTCGCCCCGCCCACTTTTGCGCGTGCGCGCAATGCTAGGGGCGAAAATAGAGGAAAATGAGGAGCACAAAATGAGCTGTAACTCGGGAATGAGTGAATATTTTTGAACGAAAATTTGGAAATATGCTAATTAGGAAAAGGAAATTATTATAAAATAAAAAGATTTTGAAAAAAAGCTGTTTGAAAAAAAAATGTTGTGGTCCCTAGATATACAAAACAATTATTGGAGAAATATATAACTCTAAAAAACAAAACTGATTCAAAAAAATTAATGTTTCAAATTTTGCAAAACTTGAATATTATTTCGAATTTTCTCATTACAAACTTCAGATATCACAGGAACAAAACTAACCTGAAATTCTGAAAATATGAAAACACAGTTACTGTAGTTTTCAATTTTTGAAATAGTTCAAAATAAATTTCCCACATTTTTTTTCCAAAAAAACTAAGGATTTGCTCTTCAAGATCAAACTTTTCACTGTTTCAAGAATATGAAATTTTGAAAGTGTTATATCATTGAGAGTTGGAAAGAATAGTCTTAATTGTAAAGAGTATCGGTTTAGTTAGAACTAAGGAATAGTGCTCTGAGAGCTACGTGTAATCAATACAGTTCACAAGTAATATGTAATCAATAGAGTTCACAAGTCAATGCCAACGGGGTCGGTTCCTCACGTCCCCAACAATTTTCTCAATCCAAACTTCAGATATCACAGGAGCAAAACTAACCTGAAATACTGAAAATATAAAAACACAGTTACTGTAGTTTTCAATTTTTGAAATAGTTCAAAATAAATTTCTCACATTTTTTTTCCAAAAAAACTTAGGATTTGCTCTTCAAAATTAAACTTTTCACTGTTTCAAGAATATGAAATTTTGAAAGTCAATTTTCACTTTCTAATTACATTTATCTGCATCTCGAAAAATCAAAACTTTGAATCCACTTCAATTCAACGTCGACATCATTTTCTGATTCTTAGATCAAATTTGAATTCAAAAAGAAGCAGTTATTTTAAAAAATTAACCATCAGTTTTTTTTCATCATCGACCGACAACTTTCATACTGTGTACTGAATAACACCACAATTTTATTAAAAATTACTGTAAATTTGAAGTTGAAACTGAAGATTTGAAACAGGAATTTTTCGAAATTGTTCAATAACTTTTTTCCGTCTCAAGCTTTTTAAAAATCCTTCTTTGAGTAGTTATTTGGGCTGCTGAACATTTATGCTCACAGGTTTTTTTGGCTACGTTATTGATTTAAGGATTTTCAAATATTTTGTTCTGATAGAAGATATCTTAAAATCAGGAAAAATCGAAAAAGTCAAAAATTCAAATGTTTCGAATTTAAGAATGTGTTCTATGACAAAAACACAAGCTTGAAAACCCTTAAACCATTTCTGTCACTTGAAACTTATCCACGAAATTTACTAGAGCCATAACATCTGGAAAATACTTTGACCTGATAAAACTGATAAAATTGCAACATTTTGAGTAAGAAAGTCATCGGGTAATATGTTCGGAGATGATAGTGAAGATAAGAACTGATAATGACCGAAAAAGTTGTAAAATTGCAATATCATTAAACATTTTATAGCAGGAACAAAGTTTTTCTTGGCATACGAGAGATGATAAAACAGTGCAGAAATGAATACAAAAATGTTGTGATCGTATAAGGAAGCAGTGAAAAAATAACAAAAATGAACAACTTTTTTTTTAATTGAAAATCCCCGTTTCAGTAAATGTTTGTGATTTCTGTGGATCCAAGAATCAGTTTCAAAAATACAAACGATAGTTTTAATATTTGCAATATCTTTTCACATAGTTTGAAAAAATATCTTCACACCAATTTTTTTACTGCCTAACATCCTTTAAAGGTGGGGGGACATGAAAAAAATAATGTTCTCGAAATTTCGTTCAAAGATGCCCCTCGAGGAGTTGAACTTGTGAGGGCGATGATTGAGGGTGCGGCGCCGCTACCGACTGAGCTACGCGGGCAAAGAGAAAGCGCACGCCCGATTGCATACATAAAGGCGAGGACGACAGCTGTACGCAGAGTGACATTAAGCTTTGTACACCGTGACGGTAGAATGCATACTCTAGCTACAAAAAAACTACGAAAAATCTCCTGTCCCCCCACCTTTAAATGATTTTTTGAAAGTGAAATTTATTGAAAATTAGCATACATGTCGCGGGCCGGGTTTTTGAGACAAACATTTTTAAGAGTCATTTTTTGGTAGAATACCGGATTGTTGGGAACTTTTTATCAAAGTTTCTTTTTTTTCATCCTTCAGAAGGGTCCTGTGCTAAATTTCGTACTTTAAAACTAAAATTTTGAAAAAAATGTATAAAAAATCAACAAAAAATACTTTGAAATGCTTGGAACCCTTGCCGGGCCGGGATTTAGCAAGTATGAAAATTACTGTTTCATTAAATATTCTAAGGTTTTCTCAGGAATTTCAGCATTGTTTGCTTTATTGTCACAATTTTAATCAAAATGATCTCAATTCCTGTGACAGATATAAAAAAGGTCAACTAACAAAATGTTGGTCAGTAGACAAACTTTTGAGATCATTCGCAGGAACCGAGATAAATTTATGGCAATTTGACTGTTACGGGTTTTACGAAGATCGCATTGAAAAGTAATTTTCACAAAATTTTCACTGTTTCCTAAAAAAATGTCCTGTCAATTCGTAATTTTGTCTGTTTGCCAAGACTACTATGGACCACCATTTTTTATAGTCAAAAAAATTCCAAAATCCTTTTTCACAGGTGGATCGCGAGGAACGTTATATGGGATCGCGCGGTGCAGTATATGCTCGCAATACGAAACATATAGGGGCGCATTATGCGAGCATATAGGATCCACGCGCCGACTAAAGCATATAGGATCCACGCCGCCGCCCAGCAATTCCTCCCCTCCCCCAGGTCCTAATATTCTCTGTGAACTGAAAATAGTGTTTACCAGTACAAATTTATTGAAAATTAATAAAAATGACAAAAAATGAAGTAAAAAGAACATAAAAATTAAAAATTAACATTTTTGTCTCCTGGCTCCTTGGACTCGATATTTTCGTCGCATTTCTCCCTCTTTATATCCATTAGACGTAAGTCCAATCGAGAAGTTGCTCTTGGTTGTTTTTTTTCTGAAAAACTGAATATATTTTGAAAATTTTCGATAGTTTTACTTATTCACACCGAAAAATTTGTCAAGCCTAGTACTTAGAAAACGAAGCTTCTTTTGCAAATTCGTATACCTGATTTATTGAGAGAGCTGAATTTCGTGTTGGCACGTTTTTCATCATGTTTCGAAAGCTCCGAAGAACTGGAGTCATAGAAACAAGAGTAGAATGCTCTTTGCAAGTTCAGTCAAAACAATTTCGCAGGTGTTCTTTTATCGAATTATTTTCGAGCGTTTCAAACACAAAATTCGCATACCTTTTCGTTTTTCTGTCGGTGCTGTTTCTTTCACTTGTCGTGTGGCCAGTGGAGACGGTGAAGGGTTTAGTTGTCACCGAATTCTGAGCTCCGCTTCTGAAAAATGAAGTCAGTGAGAAACTGAATGTCATGCATGTTTCTTACCTGTAGCTATCCGCAGGAAACTTCTGGTTTTTAGCTTTAGGTAGACATGCGAGGCGTTGGAATCCATCGGTGGGCCTAAAATAATTATTTCTTCAGGAATTTATGTGTAGAAACCCGAGGAAAACGGCTAGAAACGATGAAAATAAGTTCACAAGTGAAAAATTTGTAAAAAAACCTGCGAAATCGTAAAAATTCAAAGAAAATCGAATAAAAATAGGCAAAAATATCTGCAAATTCATCGAAAATCTGAGTGTAGATTTACGGTAAACAACGCGGGATGCGGTATATCGGAGCGTCGTTGTGTACTATTTCAGCGGAATTACCAAATTAAATGGGCAAAAAAATCCGATTCATGTGGAAATATAGAATATTGTGACTTAAAATAAGCAGACAGAGCATAAGGGCATTTTATGGTAACATAAAATACGGATTTTGACAGGTTTTTTTTAAGAGTAAACGTCGCAACACAGCCTGCAGAAAATGTTGAACTTTTCAAAGACAAAATTCCCATCAAGTTTAATGGAATTCCAAGCCTAAAATCCAGCACCTGTATATGTTTTCCGATCATCTGTCTTGGTTGACTACTTTTCACCGATAACACTATTTTTCGATTGTCAACAGTCATAAATACAATTCTTTGAGAACCAAAAATTTTATCCTGAGAATATCAAGAGAAGAGTTTCAAGCTATTATTTCTGCAAAAAGCATTTACATGTTCTGTAAATTCTATCAGGTTTCCGTGAAGACACATAATAGAATGATCCACCCCGTCCCCTTTAACTTTCAACTTTGAGCTAATTTATCTGGGTTCCTGTGAAAGATATCAAAAAGTTGTTAACTGACAGCATGTTTTTGATATTATAATAAACATTTTGTCAGTTGATCATTTTCTGATATCTTTTACAGGAAATGAGATATATGGGATCGAAGTTTACAGTTTGGTTTGCACTCGATTAGAATGTTGAAGGAATATGGAACCTATATGAGAGCACGGACTGGGCATATGCTTTCCCTGCTTACTCGACGCCCACCACCGCCCACCAGCAACCACCAGCCCATATAGCGGGCATAACGAACGCTATATGCGCGCATTCACAGTATGGGCCACAATGCGCCGTGTTCTGCAATGTGTTCTGCGCGATCCACCTGTGTTTTCATACTTGTCTTAGGCCGGACCTGGTCAAAATGAAAAAATCTCCGGCCCGGCCCTGTCGGCCCGGGTTAGCTACTGATATTTCGAAATTCCTAGGTTTTTTGAAATTTTTCGAAGTTTTCGCGAAATTTTCAATAAATATCAAATTTTTGATAATTTTGTAAAAGCGGATAATCCCAGGAAGTTTTTTTGAGATGGAATTCAACAAATTTTCCTGATTTTTTTTTTTACAAAATCAGCTACCCGGGCCGACCGGGCACGGACGGGCCGGAAGAATTTTTATTGACCCGGCCCGGCCCGGCGGGCCGGGTCATCATGGTCGGGCCGGGCCGGTTCACCGGGTCGACCCGGAATTTGATAAGTATGTTTTTTGTTTTTTTTTTATAAACAAACATTTCTGCGTTTTCAATGTTGACCACTATAATAATAGCTAAATAATATGGGGTTCCGGAAGCTTTCGGACATTTTTTCTGTTTCAAAATTTCAAAATTTCATGAAAAGCATAATTTTATTGCTCAGCAGAAAGAAGAGAAGAGAAGTTTCAGTTATCACAGAATTTTATTTCAAAATAAATAATTCATTGAAATCCATTTTCTGAGATAGTTCCTGTTTCAAAAAGTGTATAGAATTTTTTTAATTTTTAAAAATATTTTTACCAGTCGATTTCCGCCGCCTGTCGGCGGCTACAATCTCCTGGCTTCACATAAAACGTTCGAATTTCAAAACCGGATGGAAATACATAAAAAATGTAGTTTTAGTAAATTACGAAATATTAACTTTCGTGAACTTGACTGGCAGTCTGCTTGCGCCCTTTCGGGACTAAATTTCTCGGTTCCCGCTTGCAATGCCCGTAATTATTGTTTTTATGTCTTGTCTTCGTTATGAAACTGTTGTAAAAAGCTATGAAACTGTTGTAAAGAAAAGAAAATTCAAAATATTATAATCGAAATTATTGAGCCAAGGGTTTCGAAATTTTAAAAGTGTGAACTTTTAAAATTTTGAAATTCTAATGCCCGGAAATTTGAAAATTTGAACGTGTTGAAAGTCGAAAGCTGGAACTCCGAAATTCGAAAATTCGGAAGAAACTCGAGACTTGGAAAATGAAGAAAATAAAATATTCCCAAGATATTAGGTTGGCGGGAAAGTCTTTGTCACTTTTTCAATAGTTTATTTCTCAAAGAAAAAATAACCGAATAATTAATTATATTGTCCATCATTATCAACAACATGTCTCCAACGTTCCCTCAATTTATGGATTCCATTGCGGTAGAATCCAGCCGGGCGTGAGGCAAAGTATTGTTTGAGTGCCGCTTCGACCGCTCCACGGGAATTGAAGCTTCTTCCTTCGAAGGCACGTGTCATATCGCCAAATAACCAATAGTCGGAAGGAGCAAGATCAGGAGAATACGGGGGGTGAGGGAGAACATTCCATCCATATCCCATCAGCTCCTGCTTCACTTGTTTCGAAACATGTGGGCGAGCGTTATCATGTTGATAGTACACTTTCTTGTCTTTCAGGGCCGAACGGTCGACTGCTTTCTTGAGGTTTCGTAGTTGAGTAGTGTAGAGGTCTCCAGTTATTGTTTTGCCCTCGGGCAGAAGTTCCCAGTAGATGGGGCCGTCCACTCCCCACCACACAGAGAGCATAACTTTTTTCGGATGAAGGTCGGGTTTGGGGACATCCTGTGGGCTCTCTCCTTCTCCAACCCACTGGGATTTCCTGTGGTGATTATCGTAGAAGACCCACTTCTCATCTCCGGTTATTAGCCGGTCCAGCCATCGATCGCCCGCGTGGAGAGTGAGAAGAGTAATCGAATCGTCGACTCGGCGGTCAAGGTTGGCTTGAGTCAGGTGATGACGTATGAATCGACCAAAAAGTTTTCTCATTCCAAGAGACTTCAAACCTTCAAGGACTGTGCTATGGTGAACTCCGAATGTGACAGCTAGTTCACGGCTAGATTGAAATGGATCCGATTGCAATGCGTGCTTCAGCTTGTCCAAATCCAACTCACGGGGTCTCCCAGAGCGATCCTTTTCATCGAGCGAGAAGTCATCTTTTTCGAAACGATGGAACCAATTGCGAATAGTATTGTAGTGAGGGGCATGTGTGTTGTACACATTCTTCAAGAAAGTTTCCGAATCCTTCATCGTGGTGTGAGATAGGAAGAGGTAAATCAAAACATGTCTGATGTGAATAGCAGTGGGAACAAACATATCGTTTCAATTACAGATGAGGAGCAGGGAAGGAAATGGGGACTTGTTTATATGGAAGGTTCTTATCACCTTGTTATTCACTAGAGTCGATATCATACACAGCCTCCATATACGAGAACAGTGATTAAACAAACAGAGTGACAAAGACTTTCCCGCCAACCTAATACATACATGTCGCAGGCCGGGTCGGCCCGGCTGGCCCGGGATTTCGAGGCAAAATTTTTAAAGAGTAGTTTTTTGAGAGAAAACTGTATTTTATATTGCTATATTGGATTATCTGTGAAAATTTGAGACATTTTGGTCTACTGGTGACTTCGCTAGGCTACGCTAACCGGGAAAAAACGGACACACTCACACACAGAATTTGGTGTTTGTTAATAGTAAAGATAATACCAAGGCACTATACAAAATTTAAAGTGGTAGTCATCAATAGAAGATTTCACCAAGTTTCGCAATCTGAAATTTTGAGAAAATTGGATTTTTTCAAAATTATCAATCTCTGGCCTGCATAACCTTATGGTGCATACTTCACTTCCAAAAAAGGGATTTCTTTGCATAAATCAAATCATCTAGTCTTTCTAGACATACGTTAAGATCAATCAATTCATCATAATATTCAAGTACATATTCTAGCCAACATGTGTCCATATACAATTGTCTTCTCGAGTCGACACGACAATTTCTGTCATTGACAGACATTGAAAACCAGCTACGCCCCGTCACTTTCTCTTTTTTTTTGGTAAACACACATCTTATCTTCATCTATCATACGTGTTTTCTCTTTGTTAGGTGTCCATGACAACTCTCAGTTTTTGATTGGACAAACAGAAGGGGTCTTTGAAATGTTTGTGGTTTGTGATAAGACATGGTCAATGGAAATTGGTAGGGATCGTGGTTATAAACATGAATTTCGGCTAGTTAAGGGAAAAGAAATCCCAAAAGAAACATAAATTATCTTGAAATTGGAAATTTTTCAAATAAACTATGAAAAACTATGCAGCTACTTTTTTACTATCAGAAAGACGTTTTTAATTGAAAGGTTCTAAGAATTCGATTGATATTCCGCTGAATCAAAGAATCCGTTGACCCAATGTCTGAAAACTTCCCAAAAAGTCTGAAACGTTCTTCATTAAACAGTAAAATATAAATCAAAAATGACATTTGAAACAATAAGGATTAATATAAGTTGGATTTTTAGTTCAAACCGAGCTTTAACAATTTTCGCATTACTCTATTTAATTCCCATTTTTTCAGAAGCAGGAACTTTCTAATTCAAGGATTTCATTTTTAACGCAGTTTTGGAAATACTTGAAAATTGAAATTCTTAACTCTGTACAATGACGGAAAATTCAAAAAAATCGGGTTTTAAGGATCAGATACCAGTGCTTTAACGAAATTCATAATACTAGATTTAATTTCCAAATTTCCAGAAACCGGAATTTTTGAATTCAGGGTATGTAATTTTTCACGCAATCTCGAAAAGTTCTTCAGAGCAGTCGAAATTTCTTGAAGGAGGGAAGACAGATGACTTCTCAAGGTGGTATAATTATTGCCTGGTTTTGAGAATGGAACGATATGTCTGTAATAATAACACATGCCTCTAAGTGTAACACAACAAATTGCAAGTTCTGGAACCTTCTAGGAGAGGAAAACGGCAAAAAATTCGGGGGTACAAGGGGGTACAACTGATTTAGGGGTACAAAATTGATGATTCGTGGGTACAAAAATTCGGGGGTACAACGATTCGGGGGTACAACCCATTTCATTCAGGGGTACAACGCTTGTGATTCGGGGGTACTTTTTTGAGGGAGTTTCTGAATTCCTGAATTTCAGAGCTTGAAAATCTCAGAATTCTTAGAATTTCAGAACTTTGGAATTCCAGAATTCGGAATCTGAGAATTTCGGAACTTCAGGATCACATTGTTCTTTTTGAAAATGGAGAACTGTAAAATAAGCTTGACAAGTTTTACAAACTCTGGTTTTTAATGCTTAATTTAGGATTAAAACCCAGCCGATACTTTCCTCAATACCACTTTTTCTCAATTCTATTTCATTTCTCTTTGTTTCTCAATATTCCTTCGTTTTTACCCCAATTTTCCGTTTTTTTCCCAATTAGCAATTTACCAACGAAATTCGAAAAGCCCAAAAATTAGCCCAAAAAGAGCTATTTTCTCTCGAAAATTGCTCGAACATGCAATTAGACATTACAAAAATTATGAAATTAATTTTTTTCGATTAATTACCACGAAAATTTGAGCAAAAAACGATGAAAAACGAAGGAAAACGGAGAAAATCATAAAAATACAATTTGCGCGCGATGACGTCATCAGTCCATGGCCGTGGCCGAGCTGGGGGGTTTTCTCTTCCATGGGAAAGTTGCGCAAAATTCACAGGTTTTCGCAAA